CTCCTGGATGTGGCGGTGGAAGGGGACCGGAGGCGGCATCCGTGTGCACGCTGTTCCGTGGACGGCCTGGGGCGTCTCCTCATCCTCCCCTCCCAGCCTGGCTCAGCAGACAACTCAGAGGTTCCCTAAGCTCCCCAATATCCTTTCCTATAAAATTTCGTCATGGAAAATTTCAAACATACAGAAAACTGAAGCGAATGGCATAAAGAACCCCTGTGTGCCGCTCACCCGGTTCATCGACTATCAGTGCTTTGCCAGTTACTTCCCTCGTTTCTGCTGCTCCCCGCACCGTTTTGGTTTGGGTTTTGGCTGAAGTATTTTAAAGTAAAACCAAGATGTACACACCCACACGTACACATCCGCGTGCATTTCTAACACCGCTCGCATCTGCCCCCTTGGCTCACATCTTCCTGTGTCTCGTTGATAAAGACCATTTTCTTTCCTAACATAACCGTAATGTCAGTTTTCCACCCAACAGGAGTCATAGGAATGCTCAGTACGTCCCAATGTTCGTTTCTGCTCAGATTAGCAATAAGTGCGTTGTCTTAATTATGAGACACTGCCTAACACGCCCCCTCCCTCGCGGCGACCATCCTGGCCCACAGAATAGACACCTTACCCATGACGGTGCTGCGGAAGCGAGTCCCCCTCCTCTGTGTCCCCTCTCTTGGTGGAGGAGTGACACCTCACAGGGGGGTTGGGAATAAGGAACTGAGTGAGGGCCTGGGGTCCTCTGGGCATCTCTCTGGGCTCCGCCTGCCCCCAGAGCAGCTGCCGTCTGCCCAGCGAGGCGTCCAGGGACTGCGCACACGCGGCCCCGGCCCAGGCCCACCTTGTGGGGTGGGTCTAGAGGACTGTCTTGCCCTTTAGGAGGGAGGAAGTGATCCGAGGTAAACAGACTGCCCCAGCTGACTCACCCCCGCACGTGGTCTCAGAGCAAAGCTCCAGGAAACCTGGTCTGACCGGCGTCTAGGCTGCAGGCTCTAGCTTACTCAGCAGGTGTCTTGAGCTTCTCCTGTGTTTGATTTCAGCATCATTCTTCAGTGTTCTGAATTTAGTGGAAAAGAAAGAAAAGGTGATACTGTGTGTAAGCCATCAACTCCCATAGGCTCAAATGAATTCAACAATCATAAACCAAACCCAGCATGAGGGAGAGAGTATCAGGTCTCCTTTGGGCCCAACAGTCTCCCTGGGGTAATTCAGTCTCTCAGGGGAAGGTCAGTCTTTCAGGCATCCCCTCCCCGGCTTTGTCTGTCCCGGGATGGGGCCTGGGCATCCAGGAAGGCTGGGACCTCACGATGCCTACGGATCGAGGTGCCCGCAGTCCCCCTCTGGGCTCTGGGCTCTCTGGGTGCCCCGCAGCGTCCTGACCTCCCTAAACTCCGGGCATCCGGCTGCCTCTGCTTCCCCATGTGTGTCTGCTCTGCTTACTTGACTCAGACGGGGCCTGGGGATGTCCTGCCTGACCAGCCCAGCTGGACTCTTGTGCCCTGCTGAGCACTTTGAGTCTCAGCCATGTCCTCCGTCCTCCCCCTGCTGAGCCTGCACCCCCAGGGCACACAGGGGTTTCTGCCTCCCTCCCCATCACGGTAGGGTTGGGGGGCACCCAGAAGCAATACCCAGGCGTGCCCGTTGTCCACTGCATTACGTTGTCCTTCTGCTGTGGCTCCCTCTGCCCTGTGGGGCTCTCAGTGAGGAGGGGGCACAGCACTCTGTGCTCCCTGTGTTCCACTCCGCTCCTCTCCCAGCATCACCCTCTGGGGCTTCAGCTGGCCAGGCAGGTCAGGACACCGGGTCCGACCTACTGCTCCGGCCGCCTCCCCCTTCCGACCCTCCCTGGACGCAAGGGTCGCGCTTTCTCTCCTCTCCAGAAAGGGGGGGGACTGTCTTTGGGAAATGGATCCTGAGACTCCTGCACCCCTGACTTAGAGCAAATTCACTGGCTCACCCCCAAAAGCTGGCTGTTGATATGCTATCCGTATTTTAAGAAATTTAGAAAAAAATATTTTCCTCTCAGTAAAGTCCTGCTTTGAAGACTAATCAGGAACTCGGAAATCCTATTTTGGGAATCAGACCCTGAAGACGCCCCCCACCCTTTCTCCGTTTTCTTGTTACAGCAGAACTTCCGCGTCCACTACCACTTAGAGACAGAAGCTCACGGCGGGCTGAACCAGGAGGAATCGTGGGTATGGAAAGGTGAAAAAGAAAAGCAAAAACTATCATTTCTTTCTTTTAAAGTTGAATTATAGTCAGTTTACAATGTTGTGTCAATTTCTGGTGTCCAGCGAAGTGTTTCAGTCATACATGGTCACACATACGTTCATTTTCATATTCTTTTTCATTGTAGGTTACTGTGAGATACTGAATGCGGCTCCCTGTGCTGCGCAGCACAAGCTTGTTGTCTACTGTTTTACATGTAGTAGTGTGTATCTGCAAATCCCCAACTCCCAGTTTACCCCTTCCCACCCCTCCCCCTCTGGTAACCTTTGATAGTTCTCCCTTCTAGATTACCTTCCAGGCCAGATCTTTCTTCCTAAAACCTTGCTCATTTAAAGAGCCCCTGCTCCCTTGCACTTCTATGGACATTTCCCTGACCGTTACACTTCCGCCAGCATTTGTTAAGAACGTAATACATGGTGGAGTGTAGGGGGAGGGTACAGCTTAGTGGTAGAGCTCGTGTTTAGTGTGCACGAGGTCCTGGGTTCAATCCTCAGTACCTCCGTTAAAATAAATAAATAAATAAACTGAATTACCTCCCCCCACAAAAGAAAAATAGAACAAACAAACAAAAAGAACATCATACATGCAGAAGCACTGTGCACTGTGCACTGTGCTGGGCACTGACTGAGAGGATGCCCATAGGAACTGGACCTGGTTCCCACCCCCTAAAAGGCCGAATCCAGCAGCCTGGGTAACCCCCCAACTCGATTATGAAGTCATCTGCACTTCTCAAGGACAAGCCTGCCTATTCACTACATACTGCTAAAATTCAGCTTCCAGGACCAGACTCCGAATCCACGGGATGAGAATGCCCAGCGTGGCGCTCAGAGCCTGCGTTCTGAGGGTCACACGTCCCTCAGTTGCCTTTATGCCCTGAGTAGAGCATCTGCCTTCCTGACCGGGCATCTGTTCAGATAAAAATGAGACAGACGTGTGATAATGCCCTGAAGGTGGCTCGGCGTCATTTCCAGGGACCGTGGTAGGTATTCCAGAACCAAAGTGCATTTTTCACTTCGGTTCCGAAATCCTGTACCTTCTGTCCATGACCTTGGGCTCACCTCTGTCCCACCCGGGAGGTGGCACACGTGGCTTTCCAGGGATTCATGCTGTCTGGGGGACAGAGAGGCACAGGCAAGTGTCAGGTATTACTCATACCTCCACTGTAAACTCCACCCAGGCTCTGAAAGCCTGGTTTCCCTCCAGTTCCTTACGTCACCACCAACTTTGATTGGGAGCCATCAAAAATAGGAAGCATCTGGAGGTCAGAGTCAGACTTGGCCCCGGACAAGAAGGTGAAGTTAGCAAGTTTCCTCTCGTGTCTCCTGCCTCTCCTCTCTCTGCTTTCTCCTGCTCCTCGTCCCCACTGCGGGGGCCTTCTCTTCCCTGGGCTGGGGAAGAGCGGATGGCCTCATTCTTACTCAGGTTTTTAAAAACAGGGTAGATGATGAGGCAGTGGAATTGAAGCAACAAGGATAAACAGGTCAGGAACACTTCCAGGCAGAGGAATCTTCCACAGCCCCCCGTGTGCTAACACCACCATGACCTCCCATTACCGCAGGTCTTCCTGGGACCAACCCTGGGGGCTGGAGCCCTGGTGGTTCACTCTGGGCACTCGGACATCACCTGATGGGCACACAGCTGAACTCGTTAAAATCCGAGAAGACAAAGACCATGCTAGCGTTACCATGAGCACATCTCAGGCTATGGCTAATCGGGCTTGGGAAAATTTCTGGGCTGGCCTCGCTCCAAGGCCAGAGAGCTCTGCAGTTAATCCTCCAGGACTCAGATGGTGGCCAGAACCCTCTCCAGCATGGGCTGACTGCCTGATCTAGGCACAGCCGGCCTCCACCCATATCCTGATGGGACATGGTGGGAAAAATAGCCATGTGGAAAGGGAGTTATTTAGTGAAACAGAATAAGTTTTTAGCTGATGATCAGGGAAACCTGGGGTCCAGACCCACCACTGCTGCTGTTACACGGGGGTCACCATAGCAGGTGACTTCCCCAGGGACAGACCCCCTTTCCTGCTCAGAAGTGGGAGTGCCTTATGTGAGGAGCCTCAGAATTAAGGTCCACGCCAGCTCTGAGAAGTAGTTGTCCTCAACAAAGTAAACATCACACATCCTCCACCAGGAGGGGTGCAGGTGGTGACCTGGCCAGAGAGCCCACATTCATGCAGCATCTCCTGCCTTTGCTGCTCAATGTGTAGGTTGCGGAACCAGCAGGAACCCCAGGCTCCACCTACTGAGTCAGTCTGCGTCCTAACAAGATGCCTGCGTGGTTTGGTTGTGCATTAGAGTTTGACAAGGACCCCTTGCAAGGGTACAGCACCTGTCTGAGCATCGTGGCACCTCAAAGCTTGTGTTGGCTCCTTGTGACCCTGGAATAAGCCCAAACTCCTTAACAAGGTTCAAGGAACAGCCAGTCTGTGCTCCCTGTCCAGCATCAGCTCCTGAGGTTCTCCTTCCCCACCCCCAGCACAGCCATGAGGACCTCAGTGGGGCACAGCAGGGCACATGGCCGTCAGATGTGAAATTCCCTTGACCTGGAATCTCTTCCATCCCCTTCTGTTAACTCCTCCATTATCGCTTCAACAAATATTTAGGGAGCACTTCCTGGGTCAGGCACCCTGTGGGGTCAGTCGTCACAGAGCGTACCTTGTAGCTTCCCCATCCCCAAATCCCGTCCAGAATCACCTCCCCAAGGATGGCTACCCTGACCCTTAGGAAAGGTCAAGACCCCAAGGACTGCTCGCAGCCACCTGCACACACCCGTTATAACTTGACGCGTTTCACCCTCGTTGGTGGTTCACGTCACGGGAGGGCGGGGCCATGTGTCTTGTTTGCTGCTTGCCACCCCACTCCAACCAGTGACACACAGAGAGGTGCCCCGTGAGCACTGACTGAACAGAGGGGAGGTTCCAGAGGCAGGGACGGACATGGCTGGGACACGAGGAAAGAACTCGTGCGGTGACAATGGGATTCTGTTGGCTCTCACCACAGACATGACAGAACGACTTTTATCTTTGACTCTTACTTCTTTGATCTAAACTTCCAAAGAGATTATCTGTGCCCGCAGTGTGAACCCTCTGAAGAGAGGAAATCTAAATTGGCATCCACGGTGGAATTCCTATCTGCCCAGACCCGGCTGGGGTCCAGGCCTCACTCTCCCTTCCAAGGGGCGCACCTCGGAGACGGCCTGCCGGGGTGGAGCCAGGGTGGGACTCCAGCCGGGCCTGGGCTGTGTGCTGTTGTGTTCACACCCTGGTGGGAGGCTTGTCTCCCCGGTGAAAGGAGGCGGAAAGTGGCCTCAGATGTGTTGGGGACGGGCTGTTCCCTGCAGGAGGGACAGAGGCTAAGACGGGCACAGACATGCAGAGGGATGTTCACAGATTCTTCAAAGCAGATTTTATTTAGAGACAGTGGAACATAAAGGCTTATTCTAGGTTGATGAATTGGGACAGTCAGTGCCGGAGAGAACAGTCCTTTCTCCCTCCCTTTGTGGCTGGCTACAGCACAAGGAGCCATGGAAACCTGAGGAAATACATACTGGTTGTCAGAGACCACAGGGGTGACTTTCAGAGTCTCCTGACTTTACTGCTCAGCATCGAAAGGTGATCAAGTAATAAGGCTGGTGCTTTTTTCAATGTCCTTCTCGTCTTTTTTCATGCAGGTAGGGCAGATGGTGTGGATCCCAGGCTGGCCAGGGAACAGGCGAGGCTCTGGGAGCTTCACTGACCCTCCCCAGGTCACTCCGATCCCAGCTCCCCGTGGTTTCCATTAGATGCTCACGCCGTGGAGGAAAACCACGATGAAGTCGGGCAGCCAG